CGACAAGAACTGTTACTGAAAGCTGATTTTCTCTATTCATGATTTGATGTGACCAGGCAAGGACACCCACATGGAAAAGCCATGGACAGAGATTGAATATCAATCATCAATCATGGATTAGTTGTTGTTTTTATCAAAAGAAACAATGATACTTTCTTTCGCAATGTTAGTCTAATTAATCATTTTTAATTTAACTATTATATATTATAAACGTATAACGAGTATTTAATTATAAAAACTTGTAAACATTATTTTATCAAATCTTAAGGTGAAAAATTGTGTGACCCGTCCCTTGTAAATTGGATGGGGATCCACCTCCTGATAGTCTTTTACTTGTAATTTTATAGATTTTTTTTTATCATGGCGTGAGACTTTCTCCTTTAAGGACACCAAGGGATGAACTGTAAAAATATACATGCTATTAATAATTTTGGATAAACTTGTAAATTAGAATTTATGGGTTCGAAATTTTCACATGCTTCTTGACAGATACTGCATATTAGTCGTCGACGACCAAAATGTGATAGAACTAAAAAACATTGTTGGTGGACTGACAGAACAGAATCAAACACTGTCAAAATCAACATGGTTATAATTGCAATGAATTTCACGTGGCAACTTGCAAAGTCGATGTGAGGTTTGTTGGGAAGAGGAGATTCCATCAAAGAAGGTTAGAGCGATTAATGATCGAATATTTTCCATTTAGATCAACCACTTCAAAGAATTTTAATTTCAATGTAAGCAACGTGAATGTTAGGTTCACTGGAATAAATGTTTGCATCTCTTAATAATGTAATATCAACTTATCAACCTCTCTCTCATAATTCTTAGAATTTTTGTTTTTTTTTTTTTATAATTTCTCTCTGTATGTATGCCCAGAGGTGCTTCAATCGTAAATCATCTTCATAGAGGAATCTCATGCCTTTTGGATTCAGTTTTCCAGGTTCATTCTCAAGCACAGTCGATGCCTCCTTCGTCCCCGGATGGCGTTAGATTTAGACTCGTTAACCAACCACCAAGAGCCCCCACTTTCTTAAAGGCATGAAATGTTAGGTTTATCATCTCTAAAAGACATGAAATTTACGATTTAAAACGAGATGAAAACGTTAATTTCGTATCAGAAAAGAAGAGACATTAAAATTTAAAAACGACTTTATATATTCTATCAAGCATACCTTTAAAAAGTATTAATGATAAATATATTGAGTATATTCAATTAGCTCATGTAATCATTCTTAAAAGATAGTATCTCATACATTTGGAGCTCTAATCTCTTTGTAAGAAAAAAAATAAATAAACTACTCCAAAATAATCAATGTAAAGCGGCAATACTTTTTATTTATTTATAGAAAACGCCTAGTTTTATTAAAAAAATATTCATAATCACAATGAAGATTTACAAATATAAAAGTGAATGTAAACTTTATTATAATTAGAATAGTTTTCTATATCCATTGACACAAAAATTAGTCACTTATATCACACAAGGGCCAAAAAATGAAAAGATTAAAAAATCTAGCTAATGCTCGAACAAAATAAAGATACGAACAAATTTGAGTTTATCATCAAACGAAACACAAAAGGGGATGAAGCTAAAGAAGGCCACCAGAAAATCGCAAATCAGAGCCAAGCGACGTGAGAAAACTATTCACTAACGCCAAACGTGTATCCAAATCAATCTGATGGTCCAAAGCAGAGAAGATCAACATGATAACAAATAAACGACATCTTGATCAGTTGTGAGGATGTCAAATCTAACCCTGAGAGAAAAAGATAAATGGAAATAACGGTAAAAACCCGTAGACTACCAAAAGGCAGAGAAAAACATGTCAAAAAGACAGAGATAAATTTGCATCGAGGCAGATAACATGTCACAAAGACATAATTATTTTTATTAAAAACTAAAAAAGACAACTGGCGGGCGACAACCAGAATCAAAACCGATGTCGGTGTCGATTAAACAAAATTAAAGAATAAAAAGTTAGATTGATCAATAAAATTGATACAAATTGTAAATAAAGGGGAAAAAAGGGATAAGAGAGTAGGTATATATATATATATATATATATATATTGGTTCTCAATAAAATATATATCTTTAAAAATGAGTAAAATATAATTTTATTATAATCCCAAGATTTTTCAAATTTTTAATATTTTTAAGGGGACATGAGCCCCAAGTCCCTTCTACCTTCTCTTATTGAAACATAATGTTATTCACGTTTATAGAGATTCCAAGGATAACGTATTGTCCAAAAACCAAAGATTCAAGTTCTGACACGAAACGCTCATTTTTGGGCGTAGTTCATACATTTTAATTGTGAAGAAGTGTAAATAGTGATGGGATGCCATTTTTGTGTACGCATCTTCTGATAGGGAGATGGGCAAGTGTTTGGGTGAGCTAGAGCTACTGGGCTAGCTTCTTGCAATACAGTTAAAATTATGGGGGTGACAAAACTTGTGTACCCAGACCATCTTCAATTCTTTAGTCAGTGAACGATGGTGAACGTCAGAGGATACGTTCAATAATGGTTTTCTCTAATATCTTTTTCGGGAATCTAGAGTCCGAACCCGAGAATTTGATGATAATGTAAGAACAATGTGAGTGGTTTGACTCTGAGAAATCTAATTTTGAGTTGGGCTTCTATGCTATTGGCTCTTTTGTGCTTCGGATGGGCTTGAAATGGTTTAAAAAAACATAATGTATCAAAATACCCCTAACATTTGATAGTACTGTCAATTTTGCTCGTATTCTTTTTTTGTTGGGAACATTTGACCCCAAACTTCTTATTTTGGGTCAGAAAAAAATCACTGTTCGATGAAAACCGTTAGACAACTAATAGTTCATGTATTAGTAGATGATGACGTGGAGTGTCCATGTCATGATAGATGATGATGTGATAATTCCATCTACGATTTTTTTAATAAAAATAAAAAATTATTTTTAATATTTATCCAATGAGATGATGACATGTGTCACCACCTCTGGTTTAATTTTAAAAGCAAACAAAATATGCATTAGCAGAGAGTTGAACCTAAGACGTCATGCATATAATCCAAACAACCAACCACTAAGATAACATTTTATTTTGAATTATTTTTGCAAGGAAAAGTATTTATATAGATATTTTGTTCCTTACACATTTTATCAAAGACCTTCATTCTTTATTATGCTGCAAGTTCTTTTTCCTTCACATGGAACAAGAAAGAAATATATAGCTACAACTTCTCTATTTTCTTTCTCCTTGTGAAATAAAACTCTTACACACAAATTAATTCTTTTCAAGTTGTTCTTCAAAACGAAATCACGAAATCTGAGTACGTAACATCTTATTCCCATATCAATGTTTGAAGGATTATGGACAAAGATCCACGAGGAAGAAGCAAAATGGTACTAGCGGCTTATGGACAAAGAAAATGGTGAGCTTATTCCCATAACACCTTTCCTCTTACTTCACTCATTTTGTAGTGTTAAACCTCTCTATTTTCATTATTTCCTTTCACGTTCACCATTGTCGCATCTATCACTTTCCCACCTTTCCCTTTCCTTCACCACCGAAACCCTTCCCCGATTTCTTGTAACTTTTCTTTCCCAGGTATGGCTGACAATAATGATGACCATCGATATTAGAAATTTAGAATTAAGTAACTGATATCATTAGATCTAGAATTTGATTCGTTATTTGTTTCTTAACTCAGTTTTGCTTAATTGTTTTAGTTGTACAATAACCTAGTTATTTATAGTTAATTTATTTTATAAAATGGATATTCTAATCTTCTTTTACATCTCAGTTGGCTATTTATTTTTGCAAAATGTTTGTTGATTTGTTTGTGTTGAAAATTACAATGAAAGAAGAAGGTGTTTGATAAAATGCGTGAGAGTCGATACATAGAATAAATATTAAATCTTACAAGAGATAATCAAGTTGTTGGCTTGGCTTGTTGGTAATGTGCATAGTCTTTAATCTTAGTAACTCGAGTTAAATACCCCAAATGCAAATTTTACAATTTCATATCTAACCTAATGAGATGATGACACATTTCATCAATGCATTGATTGATAATTATTAAAAAATTATATATAATTACTTTAAAATTAAATTAATTTTTGATGACGTGACATTTGTCATTTCATCACTTTCGCACATGTGACACTACCACGTTAGTGTGTGATATTATATAAATTTATCATATCATTTTCATACGATAACCATTGATTAACAAATTTAACAATACTGTCAAACAATAAAATTATTTTATTTTAGAAAAATAAAAACTTCTCAACAAACCACTAATTTACCTGTGTCTCTTCCATTGGCTGGATGCCATGGTCCAATCACCATCTCTTTCTCGTCAAAATGTTAGGTCTGGCTTGTCAATCAATCCTCTTCAAAATTTTATTTTTGAATGTCAAAAAAAAATAAATTAAAAAAAAAATGAAGATTTTGCTTTTTTTTTCTTCCGAGCGGCAAAAGGGGGTATACATGGCGAATCTACGAGATTATGATATGCACAGCGATCAAATTGCCTCAATGCCATGTATGTGTTCCCTCCTCGCAGCTTAAACGCATTTAATTAAAGACAAAAAGGTCATAACCCGACAACTAATTGTATAATCGGACAAATACTAAAAGTGCAAGGATAAAACCAAAAAAGCAGGTGTGCACAGTTTTATTTCAATTAAATTAATGGCACCGTTTTTTACCAGAACTCCTATAGCTGTGATTCTTACAACGCTCCTTTTTCCAAGGTTGGAAATTCCAATCATCGGGTAAGACAAAGCCTTTTCACGTCAGTCAAAGGAACATCACTGACAAAAGCTACCGAGTAGCTACCAGCAAAACCAAACACGAGCTATATAGGCAAGAGTCAAATATATAGATACTGGCTACAGCACGAAGGTTATAGAGAGACGATATCAATCCTTCCTGAAAATCCTCCCCGGAATTACACATAATAATTGAAAGGGGGGGGGGGGGCTGTAAACTGAAAACACAGTCTGTAACAGCAAAATTCTGAAATTAGTTTTCAAGAAGCTTATACGGCCAAGCCATCAGGTTACACCTACAAATAATTCACAGTTATTCCGATTAAAATTCGTAATTATAAAGTAAGCGAGGGTTCACCCCAACGAATATTGCAGGAATGTTGGAGCCTGCACCATGACAAGAATGCTTGCCATCTACAAGCTCGGAATTTCTACACTACTCGCGGAATCTTCTCCCTAGCCGGTCAGCTTCTTTTGCCTTTTCAGGGCTTCTAACCTGGAGCAAGCTCAAACTGTGATATTTGTAGCTTGGTGAGAGTATAAGTATAGTTAATCAGCAAATAGCTCATTGCCGTGGCCAGTCTCATTATTTTTCCTGCAAGTCCTCACCGGTTTCTCACAGCCTTCAGCTGCAAGAAGGTCTAAGTAGTCGAATCATCTTTTTCATGTGGTGCTAATATAATGTCTCGGTGACAGAATCATCTTCAACGGGCATCATATTTAGATCAGGCAGTAAAGCCGTCCCTACATTGCAAGAATCTAGCAGTTCTTTGTGATCATCAAGAGCGTGTGAGGGTGAGGGACCGTAGTCGAGAGTCGGGAATACTCTCTGACGAGGTTGACAAGAAGATATTTCCTCCGGTTCATTCTTTGCAATTTTCAAGTTCAAATCAAGCTGCAGTAATAGAAGTTAACATAAAAAGAGGGCATTAGAAGAATATTTCTCAAAAGGAAATGCAGGTTTCTTCATAAATTCTCAGTTTTGGCCAATTATATGAAAAAAATTTGCAAGATGGTTATTAATGAATGGTCATATTAGTAGACTCAAGTAACTAAAGAAACATTTTGCTGACCTTAATTCTTTTCAATTTCTCATTCTTGGCTTTCTGTTCTTTGCAAGTAGCACGCACAGATGCTATCACCTGTTCAACGAACAAGAAGATGACTGTAAGGTTGCCTAGAAGCAATCAACAAGACATGATGAATTCAATACCGAGTTGAAGAACATTCGACGCACCTTTTTCAAAATAACCATTTCCTTCAGAAGCAGATTTTCCTCCTCCTTAAGTTCAGCAAAAGTCTGAAAATATGCCGAATTCTTCCGAGTTAATATACCCATGAATCATCTTCAGATTTTTCTTGCATAAAACATTTCGCATAAATATCATGAACAGTAAAGATCAATTACTTTACCTTCTTCCTTCTCGATCTCTTGGAAGTTGTGCCAGTAGTTTCGTTACCGGCAGTACCCTGCAGCATACAGCAACCAATCATTAAATTTAAGCCCAAGGCAAGAACCAACAAATTGTCTGAAGTGGTTAAATATACCCGACCCAAAGGTAGGCAAGTTGGGTCAACTAAGACCCTCGAAACAATTAAAATCTGATATTGATAATAAGCTTTCATGGCTGTTCCAATGGCGGATTCGGATACAATGTTGGAAGACAGCGAGAGTTGAAATTCTGAATCCAATGCCACTAATATTGCCGCTTCTTCTCACACAATGAACCAATAGTAACACGCCACGTTATATTAATGTTAGACACATGATTGAATTTAATGCTTTATGACTCTCTATATATAGTATTTATACGATCGACGTCACGTGAATTTAGGGATGGTAACACGGTGGTTTCGGGCATGGGATTGATCCCGTTTAAAAAATATGTATCCGTTCTTACTTAAAAAATCACGAAGATTTAAACGGGGATCCTCATCAGGTAATCGGAAAAAACCGCGTGGAAACGAGTATCCCCATTTAACATAAACAATTATTTAAAATGGTAATTTTCACCGCGGAGATAACCACAGTAAAATTTACTCGTTTAAATAACCGTTTACCTTAGATAGTTATTTTCACTGTGGGGATCCCCGTTACCATTTATATATATATATATATTATATTAAATTAAATTTATTAATATTATATATATATTTATAAAATAATTATTTTATATATTTATCGGGCCGGGTATTCGGAGCGAAGATTACTAAACTCGTCCCCGTTTAAAAAATTCAATTTTTTCACATCCCGTTTATCATTATGAATTCGACCCGTTTAATTCAATTTTTGATTTTCTCCTACAGGTTCGATTTTTTTTTTTGCCCATCCCCACGTGAATTCCTATTATATTATGACCTTACTGACGGCAAAGAGTTAGTCGGTCACTACGTGTATAATTTATAAAACCTACGCTTCCCTTCACTTACTGAAAATTTTCTATAAATCGGACGGTCTATGATCCATCCAACGCATAATCATAAATGATGGAAGAGTGTGGGGCCGAAACTCTTAAAAGATATTCCCATCTCTGAAAAAGCAAAAGCCATTAAGATAAACACGAGAGAAAAACCCGGACAACAGATGGAAGTACAGTTACAGATAGCGATTGGAAGAGAAGACCCACAGAATTTAACCGTACCCGCGTTGCACTTGATAACTTCTCTCCTCGCAACCCAAACAAAAATGCTCCCACCAACACCCCTCTTTCAGTGGGCCCTACTTATTTCATTATGACCGAAATGCCCTTAAAGGAGATCCTCTAGTGGGAAGTTTCCTGGTTCATACGGTGGGGAGGTGGACGGCATGTAAATGTAGAAGTAGCCGACAATAGAATGACGGGTGACCAAAAACGAGGCGAGAAGAAAATGTTAAAAAAAATAGAGTTCCAATCTGCTAATGGTGTTGTCCTCGCGTGAAAACTGTAAATATCCTTTAAAACGGCAGGGCATTTTGGTCCTAACGGAAAAAATGATGACACTGCTTGTTAATTGGTTTATTCAATTTGGTATTGATGTTATCCTGTTAAACCGATGGTCGGAGAGATACGAGAAAAGTAATAAAAAAGAAGAAGCGCAGATTAAGCCTTAGCGAGTTATTGTACGGAAAGTTTCGTCCGCTGAAAATGGAAGGAAAAAATAATACAGTCGAGATTCCAGAAAACCAAAAAGTATAGGTTTACATGACACAGAAAGAAATAGGATCAAGTAATTGAGGAGATTAAAGAAGGGAGTTTTAACAATAGAAATAAGTTATCCAGTAACACAAGAATGTCTCGTCCACGAGATACAAACAGAAGACGATGGTGGTGGCATATAAATTGACATGCGATAGAGGGTCATTTCAGTCAGCACCGACCACCGCAAGAAACGCCGAAAAATCAGCTGCTGGAAACGAGAGGGAGAGAATGAGAGACAAGTGAAAACAAACCTTGGATCTGGAAGTTGCGGTTAGTTGGGAGCGAGAGACATGCTTACTGGTCTCTTCAAAGCCATCGGCGTCAGAAGGAGATGCAGAGCCGCCGCCGCAGCTCCAAGAAAGAGGCGTTGTTGGGCTACGCCTAGTGCTGGCTTTGAAATCCCCGTCTCTCTTGTCGTCGCATCTCATCGACATGGGTTTAGACCTGGGTTGACGTATCCCCCATTTGAGTGCAACCACCGCAGATTTCGAAGCCGGAGGCGCAGTCTGCTCTTGTTTGAGCCTTACGAGTAACTCGACCACCATGTTGTCGTCCGTCATCGCCTCCCGAACCCACTCGTCCTTCACCGTCATCGTAATCATCACCGCCAAAAACCAACACCAGACGAAACAAGAAAAGGAAGAGCTCAGATGGTGACGAAGACTGGATATGAAGAAAATGATAATATATAGGGTTTGCAAGAGGCAAAGAGAGAAGATATCAGAGGTGGCGAGGAATGAGAGAAGAAAAAAAAAGTTACAACTTATAAATGTGAAAGAAAGTGAAGGAGATGGGTGTGGGCAATGTATACATATACGAGGGTGTCTTTTTTTTTTCTTTTTATTGTTTTAGGGTATTTATTTTGAAATTTAATAGCATAGCAACAAATTTTTTTCAAGTCTTAAGAGAAAGATTTATCCCTAAATTATACATTGAGTTATTAAGGAGTTTTTTTTTTGAGATCTCATTTCAATACTATAAATATAAGGAGTTGAATATTATTATTAAATAATTAAAAATATTTAAATAAATATTTTCTTATATTTATCTCATTTATCAAAGAAAATTATAAAAAAACATTAAAATATAAAAATTATTAATTTTATTTTAAATAGATAAAATCAGCAAAAAGAATATTCAAATCAATTTTATTTTAACCAATAATATTTCAAAATTAGAGAACTATAAATAGTAAAAAAACCTTTAAAGAGAATAATTCAATAAAAATATATAATTTAAATAAAATAGGGTTGATTAAGCCTTTTTAAAAATTGAAAATGTATTAAATTTATTTGCGTGGTGAAGTATATTCCAGTTATTGGGTTCGATTTCTCTATTCACGAAAAACCAACGGAATGTTCATCGAAACGTTTGATGAAAAATTAGTTTATGTTAGTTTATTTATTAAATAAATGAGTATGAATAAAATTTAATATTTATTTAATTAAATAAGTGAATATAAATAAAGAGTTCATTCATTCATTTACATCTGTAAATATTATGTGATCCGTTCATTTATATTCAACATAATTAATTTAGTATTAATATTTTAAAATGTAATTAATTTTAAACTCAAATAAAAATACTCAATTAATTTAAAAAATTATAATCATAAAATTATTTTTAAAGAAAATACTCTTTTCAAATATAAACTCAATTAATTTTATTTTTATTTATTTATATTCGTTCATTTGTGTTCATTTATTTTTTAATAAATAAATTGTATTCTTTAATGAATGAACACAATAAAAAGTTATATTCGTTTAATTATTTATATTCATTTATTTATTTAACTAAAATTAAATAAACAAAATAAATATATACTATTCGTATTCGTTCGAATCGTTTAGATGTTAAATTTCTCGTTGCATGTTAAAGGGGGCCGCTTCAGAACGCGCGAGTGATGTGTGTGGGTCTGACTCTGACCTTTATTTTCAATCCATTTTATATTATTATTCTTTTTTCTAGATGAGATGAAAAGAGAGTAGGGTTCGTGGATGACATGTGGAGCTGACAGGTTTTCAAATTTAAGGGTACATTACTTGAATGACCATCCAATTATAGGGTTGATATCGATATGGTCACCATTTTTAAAATTATTTCAATATAATCACCTAATTATTTAATTGGTTTTAATATAGTCACTTACTACTTACACAACAGTTAACAAAATTGATCTAATTATATAGTTAGCCCTTATAACTTATACATTCTTTTTCCTTTATTTTTAATCCATTTTATGTTATAGTTTTCTTTCTAGATGAGATGAAAATAGTAGGTTTGTGACGTGGGAACTATCAGGTTTTAAAATTCAAGGGTAAAATACTTGAATGATCACTTAAAAATAGGGTTGATGTCGATATGGCCACCATTTTCAAAATTGTATCAATATGACTACCTAACTATTTAATTGATTTAAATATTGCTCACCGTTAACATTTAACAAGAGAGCATACGTGAAAGTTAACAAAATTATAATTACATATTTAGTCCTTAAAACTTATAAATTCTCCCAATATGGTATTAATTTTAATTTAATAAATTTATTTATCTAATCAAATTGTCACCTTTTGAAGATAAAATAATTAATTTTTGTGTTTGGACGCCTAAGAGAATCGAATTTGGGTCCCAAGGGTAGCCTACACACACCTTAACCATTAAGACAATTCTCACGCTTGTTATCAAGATAATACATATTTTATATCACTTGTTCGAGTTTAGGCAGAGAAAGTAAACTAAAATAACTTATTTATATTTTAATTCAAGATCAATTAGTAACCAAGCAAAGTATTAACCAATAGGTTAAATCTAATATTTAGAAATCAATTACAATATTTTATATATGTTATATATTATAGTTAATGATATAAAAAATGAAAGAAATAAAAATAGACAAGTAATGACTTAAGTCTAGGCCTAATGAGAATATGATAATACTTAAATTGCTAATAAAAACTAATAGATTATTTATAATTAATTTAAGATATTAATACTTTAAAACAAATTTATTTACTTTATATTTATTTATTAATGATTATATATATATAATTAAATTAGAAATTCATTTAACATACCCGAACTCACGAACATAATTTAAAATCAAAAGTTTAATTTATAATTTGAAATTAATTTTTTCTTATTAAATATAATCATTAAAAAATAAATATGAATACAATAAATTTAGTTTAAGATATTAAAATCTTAAGCCAATTATAAATAAACTATTCGGTTTGTTTTAGTGATTTAAGTGCTCTCATATTCTCAATTGGCCTAGATAAGTTTTCCTTATTCATTTTTATTTTTTATCATTAACTATAATATATAATATATATATAAAATATTGTAATTGGTTCTTAAATATTAGATTTAATCTATTGGTTAAGTTTTGCTTGGTTAGTAATTCATTTTGGATTCAAATCCAATTAAGTTATTTTAGCTTTTTTTCTGCCTAAACCTGAACAAGTTGTATAATATATGTATTAACATGTTAACAATTGTGTGAACTCGTTCAATGGTTAAGTCTTGCGAAGGCCACCCTTAGGACACAAGTTTGGATCCATTTGACGTCAAAACTCATCTTCAATTATTTTCTCTTCAATTCAAAAGATGATACATGTCATCTTTTGATTGAATTGAAAGTTTATTAAATTAATTTTTTTTAAAATATAATAAGATTGTGATATGTGTAGCAATTTGATTGGAGAAATAAATTTATTAAATTAAATCAAAATTAGGACTAAAATGAGAGGATGTATAAGTTATAAGGATTAAATATGTAATTATACTAAATTTGTTAACTGCCATGTAAATATTTCTCCTTAATGTTAACGGCATGTGGCTATATTGAAACCGATTAAATACTTGATGGTCATATCGACATCAGCCCCATAGTTGAGTGCTCATTCATGTAGTTTATCCAAAATTAAATTGTTTTAGGGTTAAGGCTTCGGAAACTTGTAACCCGCCGCCGTCCATTGCCCTTTTCATATTTTGACCTTATCAATCTGTATACATACATGTATACTTGTTTTAGGTTATTTCTCTGTAGTATTATACATCATGTTTTTAACTTAAGTTAATTTTATATTTAATTAAAAATTATCTAATTTTCAAATATAGAAAATTTACTCGTAAAAGCAATATGTTATATCGATTGTTATATGTGAATAGAATCGATTGTTGATTATTATTCTTAAACAAACCAAAAATTGTGTCTTACTTTGGTTCGAAGTTCAACAAGTGTTGATTACTAATCACGTGATGCATCTTATAAAATGAATCTGCCGTGTTGAGGTTTCATGGCACTAACCGGGCATAAGCTACTATAAAGCCCAAATTAATTTTATTGATAAAGTATATTCTACACTTACATAATAGGGTAGGCTTTCAAACAAGAAGGAATAGTGTTTAATTATTATTAAATAATGTCACCGTTCTGTACCAACAAATTATAGGTGAGGGAAATAAAAAGCGAGAGCAAGTATATGATGATATGATTAGGGAAAGGGAAGCTATGGATAGCGTGGGTGACAATTCGTCTTTCGGCGCTCTGTATTTTTGCTCCTTTTCTCGGCCACTCTTCTCTTTGCCTCCTGTCGGCGTATATCTGTAACCCTTTCATTGCGTTGCCACTCTCCACCAACCAATTTCATCGTTGGTTCTACTTCTACCATTGCTTTTTATATATGGGAATATATGCACAGGTACTATGCAGGTTTATGTTAGAATACATTTAGCTAGTTAGTCATTGATCTCTCGTATTCTTTTAAATTGTGAGTTCTAGACTCACTAAGGGGGTGTTTGGATGGGGGAATGTGGGATTCTCATAGGAATGGAATCCACATTCCCCGTTTGGTTAGCTCGGGAATCTCATTCCCGGTAATGTAAGATTACCAATAGTGGAATTTTTGGGGTATATTAACGGGAATGTCATTACCTCAATTTCCTTAGGTATTGTTGAATTCTCGGCGTTTTGGACTAAAATGGCTTTACAATTTTTTTAAATATCATTTTTCTATCATTGAATAATAAAAATTCTACGAATGTTAAATTACAAATTTATCTTTAAACTATTTTAGATATACAAAAAAAAGTCTATAATTAAAATTTTATATGAAGTTCAGGGGTTAAAATAAAATTTTACCCTTTCATTAAACCTTTTTATATTTTCAATTTTGTAAAAAAAATTTATATAAATTTTATGAACTTAAATTTTTTAAAGAAAATATATAAATATTTTTTAACTTGTTAAAAAAACAAATATATAATAAGGACAATTTGGTCAAATATACATTCCAATAATCTTTTATTCTTTTAACCAAACACCGTAATCTTACATTCCTGCTAAGCCAACCAAACACAAAATACAACATTCCCAGTAATCCTATTCCCTGGTAATATTACATTCCGTGAACCAAACGCACCCTAAGAGTATTCTTTTTTTCCCCTCAAAGTTTCTCATTTTATTCTTCTCTAAACGAGATTTGAATTAAATTTAAAATTTATTGAAAAAAGTCAAATTATTGTTTATAACTAGTTTTTATTTTTTTTAAATATTAGTTGCACAAATTAGACGCGGCATCAATTAGTTTTATCATTTGTATTATGTTTAAACCGTTGGTTTGATGTCTGAACACTTTTAGTTTATGCATTATGCACTCTTCAAGATCTAAAACTTTAATCATATAACTATACAATTTTATTCAATTGTGTTAGTATTAGTCTCTATATAATATATGAGAAGGGGGATGAGACGTCTATTGCTCAAGGGTCGTATCGGGCCTCTCTTAGAGCGTTTCT